TTTTAATGTTGTTGCTGTTTTTAACATTGTTGCTGTTTATTAATATTGTTGTTGTTTTTTAACGTTTTGGTGATTTTAAGCGTTGTTGCTGTTTTAAACATTGTTGCTGTTTTTAACATTGTTGCTGTTTATTAACATTGTTGTTTTTTAATGTTGTTGCTGTTTTAAGCGTTGTTGCTGTTCTTTTAACATCGTTGCTGTTTTTAGTGTTGTTGGTGTTTTTTTAACATTGTTGCTGTTTTTTAACGTTGCTGTTTTTTAATATTGTTGCTGTTTTTAGCGATGTTGCTGTTTTTAACGTTGTTGGTGTTTTTAATGTTGTTGCTGTTTTTAACATTGTTCCTGTTTTTTAGCGTTGTAGGTGTTTTTAACCTTGTTGATGTTTTTAATGTTGTTGCTGTTTTTAACGTTGTTGGTGTTTTCGAGTGTTGTTGCTGTTCTTTAACATTGTTGCTGTTTTTAGTGTTGTTGCTGTTTTTTTAACGTTGGTGTTTTTGAGCGTTGTTGCTGATTTTCTAGTGTTCTTGCTGTTTTTTTAGCGTTGTTGCTGTTTTTAGTGTTGCTGTTTTTAATGTTGTTGCTGTTTTTAACATTGTTGCTGTTTTTTAGCGTTGTTTCTGTTTTTAACGTTGTTGCTGTTTTTAACATTGTTGCTGTTTTTTAACATTGTTGGTGTTTTTAGTGTTGTTGCTGTTTTTAACGTTGTTGCTGTTTTTTTAGCATTGTTTCTGTTTTTAGCGTTGTTTCTGTTTTTGACGTTGCTGTTTTTAATGTTGTTGCTGTTTTCAACATTGTTCCTGTTTTTTAGCGTTGTAGGTGTTTTTAACCTTGTTGGTTATTTTAATGTTGTTGCTGTTTTTGTTGTTTTTTTTACTTGTTGTTTTTTTACTGTTGTTGCTGTTTTTAACGTTGTTGGTGTTTTTTTTAGTGTTGTTGCTGTTCTTTAACGTTGTTGCTGTTTTTAGTGTTGTTGGTGTTTTTTAACCTTGTTGGTGTTTTTAATGTTGTTGCTGTTTTTCTACTGTTGTTGCTGTTTTTTAACGTTGTTGCTGGTTTTTAGTGTTGTTGCTGTTCTTTAACATTGTTGCTGTTTTTAGTGTTGTTGCTGTTTTTTAACGTTGCTGTTTTTGAGCGTTGTTGCTGTTTTTCTATTGTTGTTGCTGTTTTTTAGCGTTGTTGCTGGTTTTAGTGTTGTTGCTGTTTTCAATGTTGTTTCTGTTTTTAACGTTGTTGCTGTTTTTAACATTTTTGCTGTTCTTTAACATTGTTGGTGTTTTTAGTGTTGTTGCTGGTTTTAACGTTGTTGCTGTTTTTTTAGCATTGTTTCTGTTTTTAGCGTTGTTTCTGTTTTTGACGTTGCTGTTTTTAACATTATTGCTGTTTTTAATGTTGTTGCTGTTTTTAACATTGTTCCTGTTTTTTAGCGTTGTAGGTGTTTTTAACCTTGTTGGTTATTTTAATGTTGTTGCTGTTTTTACTGTTGTTGCTGTTTTTAACGTTGTTGGTGTTTTCTAGTGTTGTTGCTGTTCTTTAACGTTGTTGCTGTTTTTAGTGTTGTTGCTGTTTTTTTAACGTTGGTGTTTTTGAGCGTTGTTGCTGTTTTTCTAGTGTTCTTGCTGTTTTTTAGCGTTGTTGCTGGTTTTAGTGTTGTTGCTGTTTTTAATGTTGTTGCTGTTTTTAACATTGTTGCTGTTTTTTAGCGTTGTAGGTGTTTTTAACCTTGTTGGTGTTTTTAATGTTGTTGCTGTTTTTACTGTTGTTGCTGTTTTTAACGTTATTGGTGTTTTCTAGTGTTGTTGCTGTTCTTTAACATTGTTGCTGTTTTTAGTGTTGTTGCTGTTTTTTTAACGTTGGTGTTTTTGAGCGTTGTTGCTGTTTTTCTATTGTTGTTGCTGTTTTTTAGCGTTGTTGCTGGTTTTAGTGTTGTTGCTTTTTTTAATGTTGTTTCTGTTTTTAGTGTTGTTGCTGTTTTTTTAACATTGGTGTTTTTGAGCGTTGTTGCTGTTTTTCTAGTGTTGTTGCTGTTTTTTAGCGTTGTTGCTGGTTTTAGTGTTGTTGCTGTTTTTAATGTTGTTTCTGTTTTTAACGTTGTTGCTGTTTTTAACATTTTTGCTGTTCTTTAACATTGTTGGTGTTTTTAGTGTTGTTGCTGTTTTTAACGTTGTTGCTGTTTTTTTAGCATTGTTTCTGTTTTTAGCGTTGTTTCTGTTTTTGACGTTGCTGTTTTTAACATTATTGCTGTTTTTTAGCGTTGTTGCTGTTTTTAACATTGTTGCTGTTGTTGCTGATCCTGCAGTGCTAACATTAGCTCAGCTTGCATTAGCTGCACTGTTGTGTGTGTGTATCTGCTCTATGTAAATGGAGGTAATGATGTTTATCTACGTGATCAAACTAAAGGAATTCATATGTTTGACGCCACTGTGCAACTTTGATTAGCAGCTAGCAAGTAGAGAGCATAAACTTTAAACAATATGAATATTTGTATTTTCCACCAGGGAGCCTAACATGCACCACAGTAGGCGGTTCAAGTCCAGCACCTTTGTGTAGTACATTGTGTAATATACTGTAGGACCTTGTCGTCGCCTCATCATTACAAGAGACGCTTTATCTGTCTGTTAATTCAACAGCCATCATATAATTTTGATGCTGTTCCACCAGGAGAGTTTTCAAGGCCTCCTCTTTCCCTTTGACCTTGTAGACCCAGGAAAGTCACTCATGGGATTACCAGTGGTCATCCACCTCTTTTTATTTATGACTGCAGCTCTCTTTCCACAGATAAAAATGACACTCTACACTCAGGTTTTGGGAAACGTTTATTGTTCTACAAAAGATGGGTTGATAATTACGTGCCTTTTGATTGTAAATCAGGGTTAGATATCCCTGAAATGTGTTTACATTTCTTTTAGTCTGACAGGTTCACGTCCAGAGAGAAACTCCTCTGAAATCCACATCTGGTCTCCGTCACTCCTCCACCCTTAAAGTGAAAATTACGAGTTGCCCATGTGCTAGTTAGGACATTCCATCTAGATAGCAGAAACAGCATTTGCACTGATATAGATTTAGTTCTAATTTAGTACTATTGTAAAATTTCATCTTCTCAAAATTAACAGATTGCCATCCAGCATGAGACGGTCGCAAATGTAATGTTTGTCTGATGTTTCTGTCTTCAGGTTGGACTAAGTTAAAAAAATCATGTGTAAAATGTCTGAATGTTTGATGGAGCCACAGTGCCACCTTTTGGTAAGGTTCTGGTATAGCGTAAGGTACTTTTAAAACGGACTTTGTTTTATAATTGTGTAGTATTCCAAATAGTAAATGCCTGACACATAATTTTTGTAACAAGGATTAAGCTAGCACTATACGAAATATGTACAATCCCTCAGTGCTACTTTATATGCATGTTTGAAGATTAATGATTTAATGATTTTAATCAGTTCTACTTTTCTTTTACATTAAGTAATTTCGGTTATGTTATGTTAAAACATGTGAACAATGTATTAAGTCATGGTGGGTTCTGTGAACGGTGAATTATGATCTCGAAACTTTAAAACACAATAGGAGTAAGTTGATAAAGTTACGGGTATCAAAATATCACCAGAGGAAGTGACGCGCGCGGTCAGCTCCTCTCATCCAGTTCTGCCTCCAGAATAAAAGATATAAGGGATAGACTCCAGTCACTCCTTCTCATCTGATCTCTTCTAAACTTCGTTCTCTCACTCGTTATTTACTCTCGTTCTTAATTTTAAATTCCATACTTTACTTCGTTTTGTGACACGTGTTGAATTTTTCCTAAAGTAATAACTTGCGGTGCTGAAGTACTTTTCTAAGTACTTTTATTTTGATAACTCAAGACACGAACAAATTTCTTCTTGTATATTTTTTAGTCTTTTATATATATATATATATATCGTCAAGTATTGTCACCTTATTCACAGAAAGTGAATTTAATCTAATTCTTGGACTAAGTGACTATGGAGAATTCACCAGGCCAGCGTTTCATCCTCCAGTTATTTTTAAACAAGAAGCTGAATTAGTTAACAATCAAAGCTGAAGACCAACCACTCTAAGACATTTATCATCAGCCAGAAGGACGTTGCAGTAGTTGACTGCTCAAGAAGACGTACAAACGTTTCCAGCCGAACAAAGACATTATTATCCAGCGACTCTCTGCCTCCAACACACTCAAGCGTAAAACTACGCGTTGGGCCTTTGAATTGAAGAGCCACTGGTACCAGGGATGAGATGCAACTTCCTTCGGCCTGTTGGATCAGTGATGCAAAGCCGCAGTTGAGGTAGGAGGAAAGCCAAGGGCCTGGAATCCTTCCAAGATCCATCTACAAACAAAGTAGCCTGACTCTCCAGTACACGACCGGATTCACACACATGAAAAAGAGCTGGTGTCTTTCTGTAAGCTTTGATTCCCATCTTTTAGTTTAAGAGAATTTTGGATTAGGGCCTCTCAGTTCTAAAATTTACTCTCGCTCCTGAATCACCTAATAGTAATAATTCATATATTGTCCACATATTCTGTTACTTGTTGTCATTTGTTTGTTTATCATTTCATACTATTTACTCTGCATTAGTTTAGTTAATAAACATATATAACCGTATGTCCTTGTGGGTGCAGGTTTGATTTGATGCGGGGAAATCGATGAATCTTGTAAAAGAAATCACTACTTCAGAAATATGGGATTGAATATAGAATATGAGATTGAATATAGATTTCGAAATTGAATAAATTGATTTGAAATTGATTTGATTAGATCTGTGGAATAATTTCCTCCAGATTATTCCAGCAGCTAAACAACGGAGGTGGTGCCCCATTTACGAGTGTATTATTAATCTTCAGTGATTAATTACCTTTATTATTAAGTAGTGTCACCCCTACAGTACTGTGAAGTACATTGTGTAATATACTGTATAGTATTTTGTGTAGTACATTGTGTAATATACTGTGTAATATACTGTGTAGTAATATTGTGCAGGATACGATGTAGTACCGAGGGCGTCCTGCAGGTACTTCTGTCCAATCAGCTTCAGGTATTCCTCTATACTCTTCGTTGCCAGCGTGTTCTCTCTGAAGATCAGCTGGTCGTTATCACGGCAACGGTCCACCTCCGACATCATCAGGTCCGTCAGAAAGTCCTGCAGAGAGGGGTCAAAGGTTGTCCTCATTTGGTCCAATAAAATGTAATCTAAATCTTCTGAACGTACAGATGTCATATATATTTATATTTATATATACCTTTATGTATGTGTTTATATTTAGAATATAGTGCCATAGTGGAGAAGTTGCAGATTGCATGTAGAATAAATTCTAATTCCAGTGTTTGGTTTGTCTCTTCTGGGCTACTGGGTTATTGTAGATGCCAGGTGTAGTGGGTGGGGTTGTTACCTTGGCCTTGCCAGTGCTGTGCAGGATGTGGACGAGCGCAGCAGCCAGCTCCTCTTTAGCTCTCAGGCTGATGGAGGCCTCCAGAGTGTTACACAGCAGCAGGTAGTTGGAGCTGATGTACTCGGCAAACTCTTTGTACTGCTCCATCGGCAGGATGACGATGCTCTGATAGCGAGCTTTGATTCGCACCGTCGGCACAGACGACTTTCCTGAAACACAACCAGAAAAGACCTATTTGCAGAGGAAGGCCTGTAACGAGGGCAGAGGGTAAAGTACTCACTCAACGCTGGAGCTGATTCAATCAATAATCAATAATCAGAAGCTGTCATACGCTGACTGTTTACCATCCACAGTTTAGATCTTAGTAGGGGTGGGCGATATGGGCAAAAAATAATATCTCAATATTTTTGGGGATTTTGGCGATAACGATAATCAGTCGATATCCTTTAAAATGTGATTAGAATTGTCTGAGCTGGACTTGTGTCCACCAAACGCGTTTACAGCGCTGAGAGAGCTCAAAAACTCATTATCCGAGCGCCCAGCGGTGTTAAAAGTTGAACAGATTTCAACTTGAAGCGCTCTGAGCGCTGCGCTAAAAAAAACAAACGTCTCCGCTGACATCTTTTTACCGCTGAAGGCGCTTAGCGCTCTGAACGCTGAAGCCCATAGGACCCACGTCTCGGCACTGAATCATCTGAAGTACCGGTAGCTTCAGGGACTGGAGGTGTTTGCATTTTCTCTCTACCATCACAACGCGCTGCTAAACTGTTGCAAGGAGGATGCTAGCGAGAGGTCACTAGTCATGTGACTGAATCCTGCCATGCTGTAGAGAGCGCTGCTGCTCCGTGTATTAATGGATGGGAGGAGTTTCCGCGGGCGTTTCATTGTTTTTGTCGAAGTAATTTAAATACTCGATAATGGAAATTTGCACATCGTCAAAACAACAATGACGATATTATCGCAAACGATATATATCGCCCACCTCTAGATCTTAGTGCTTTTAGCATTAGCTCGGCTCGCAGCCCCTCCGGGACGTCCATTGTCTGTCCAACAGCGTGGGAGAAGCAGTGATTGTTAAGGTGGAACTGCTTTATTCAGTGATTGTTAAGGTGGAACTGCTTTAGTCAGTGTTTTTCCGTATTGTTTGGGTGTGACAGACTGGTTGTGCGTTGTAAATATTTGTTAGCGTCAGTCTACCTACCTCTGCTGGTACTGGGCGTGCTAACTGCATACCACTTCTCCACCAGCTGTCTGCCGGTCACTGTGGCAACGGGGATGTTGACCAATCCTACGTAGCTGCTCTTGTCTTTCTTCCTCTTCCTGTCGGTGTCTTTGTAGAGGTGAAGAGTGACGGCGCTGATGGATGGCAGACTGCTGAAGTCAAAACGCTCGCCCCAAAATATGTTGTCAGTCTTCAGTTTACACGACGTCCGAGCATAAAGACTGTCGTCCAGACACAGCTCGCAGAAATACCTGCAGTACAAACAGTAGTGTTACTGCACAGCGTACAGGTGTAAGGTGTAGCGCCCCCTACCTGTACACGTACAGCGGGTGTTGAGCCCCCTACCTTTTCTTGGCGGGCAGGTCTTTGGCTTCGATCACCCACACCGTCAGAACGTTCTCCAGCCTCCTGCTGTTGTCTTTGTTGGGATGAACCGCTCTCCTCAGGTTCTCCATCCATTTATCTCTCTCTGCTGCCGACCGACAGGAGAAACACTTTGTTCCAGTCGAGGTCGTTACCTAGGAGAGATGGGTCAGAGGTCATCACCATGGAAACAGCGGAGAGGTGACCTGTGACGGTGAGTGCGTGCAGTGGGTGTCACCTCGAAGCAGTAGTCCTGTCCCAGCAGGGAGGAGTGAACTGGTTTGATGATCACTGATTGGTCCATCCTGAGCTCCAGAGACGACACACAGCCGGCGCTTAGCAATGACTCCTGGCTACCACAGTGCAGCCGCCGCATCACACACCTGGAGAGCAGGTAACATCATCAATGACTTCATTATTGATTACCAATAGTTCCTGATCAGCTCCCTCCTGTTGATCCAGTCTGTTATAGACCAACATTTGGGCAGTATTAGTATTTATTAATGGAGTATTTTGTAATAGAGTAGTGTTATTTAATAGAGAAGTGTTTTTTAAAAAAGAATTATTTTAATGGAGATTTTATAAAAAAAGAATTTTTTTTAAAAAAATAATTAATTTAATGGAGTACTGTTAGTGTAATGAGTACTGTTACTGTAATGGAGTACTGTTACTGTAATAGAGTACTGTTACTGTAATGGAGTACTGTTAGTGTAATAGAGTACTGTTACTGTAATGGGTACTGTTACTGTAATGGAGTACTGTTACTGTAATAGGTTCGTTACTGTATGGAGTACTGTTACTGTAATGGAGTACTGTTCGTGTAATGGAGTACTTTATATTGCGGTATTAGTACTGTTACTGTAATGGAGTACTGTTACTGTAATAGAGTAGTGTTACTGTAATAGAGTAGTTACTGTAATGGAGTACTGTTACTGTAATGGAGTACTGTTAGTGTAATAGAGTACTGTTACTGTAATGGAGTACTGTTACTGTAATGGAGTACTGTTACTGTAATAGAGTAGTTACTGTAATGGAGTACTGTTACTGTAATAGAGTAGTTACTGTAATGGAGTACTGTTACTGTAATGGAGTACTGTTACTGTAATAGAGTAGTTACTGTAATGGAGTACTGTTACTGTAATGGAGTACTGTTACTGTAATAGAGTAGTTACTGTAATGGAGTACTGTTACTGTAATAGAGTAGTTACTGAATTGCATTGTGTGTTAGTGGCTGAGCCTTCCCCTTTAAGGCAGGTGCATTGTGGGTAATGTGTGCTGTTAGTTGTAGGCAGTGAGACGGCGTCTTCTTGTTCTGTAACTTGAGGAATTGTTTCAGCCCGATAACGTTATAGGACCCGCTAGTCTCAAAGGTATTGTTGATCCTAATAGAACCAGGTCCACATAGAACCAGGTCCACATAACCCCGGGTTCTCATAGAACCGGTCCTCATAGAACCGGGTCCTCATAGAACCGGGTCCACATAAACCCGGGTTCTCATAGAACCGGGTCCTCATAGAACCAGTCCTCATAGAACCGGTTCTCATAGAACCGGGTTATAGAACCAGGCCCTCATAGAACCAGTCCTCATAGAACCGGTTCTCATAGAACCGGGTTATAGAACCAGGCCCTCATAGAACCGGTCCTCATAGTACCGGGTTCTCATAGAACCGGGTCCACATAGAACCGGGTTCTCATAGAACCGGGTTATAGAACCAGGCCCTCGTAGAACCAGGCCCTCATAGAACCCGTCCTCATAGAACCCGTCCTCATAGAACCGGGTTCTCATAGAACCCGTCCTCATAGAACCGGGTTCTCATAGAACCGGGTCTTGAATGTCACCCCTACCATAATACTGTGAATTCACTGTCTGTGTGTGAGACGCTGTTCGAGGAGGTTTCTGAGCCGTTACCATAGTAACTAGCACTTCCTGTCTGCGGGAGAGAGATGGCTCTGATTGGCTGCAGCTCGCTGTGATATTGATCCTGATTGATTGATGTGTTTCTGGCGTGTGCGAGGTATTGACGAGCTCTTTGATCAGACGTGTGAACTCCAGAGGGCGCTGTGTGATAAATGTCCTCAAGTGATGTCACTTGAGTCGGCGTCAGCTGAGACCAGACTCCAACCTCACACTGCTGTCAGAGGAAGCATTGCACTGTGGGTAATGTAGGCAGCAGGACGAATAAGGATGATTGTGGTTCTGCTGACGCTGTGGAACCTGTCAGACTGACCTCTGACCTCTGACAGCCACACACACACACACACACACACACACACACACACACACACAGAGGATGAGCTCCTCCGTTAGCTCGTTATCTTAACGAGCTGCTTAACGTTAGCTTCTTACAGCGCTAATTCTCCTGTGTGTGTGTGTGTGTGTGTGTGTGTGTTTCGTGTGTGTGTGTGTGTGTGTGTGTGTGTGTGTGTGTGTGTGTTTCTGTGTGTGTGTGTGTCTGTAGCTTAATCTCATTTAGCTAACATGTTGGCTAACAGCGTGTAACTAGCCTAGCCACATGCTAATGTACCAGGCTAGCTGTGTGCAGACTGGAGCCACACACACACACACACACACACACACACACACACACACACACACACACACACACACACACACACACACACAGAGAAACGCAGCATGCATGGTCATGCAAATCAGGTAGAAGACGCCACCGTGCACACGCACACACACACACACACACACACACACACACACACACACACACACACACACTGCAGCACATTATCTATGGAGGACAAAGGCAGTTAATGCGTGCAGATACTCACCGAGCATCCTGTGAATGCTGAGGAGGAGGAGGAGGAGGAGGAGGTGGAGGAGGTGGGGGGGGTTATGGATCCATGTTCTCCTTCAGCAGCAGCAGCAGGAGGAGGAGGAGGAGGAGGAGGAGGAGGAGGAGAAGATGGAGGACTGGCTGATCCTGACGCTGTTTGTTGGAAAGGCTGAAGACCTGTCTGTCTGTCCGTCTGTCTGTCTGTCTGTCTGTCTGTCTGTCTGTCTGTCTGTCTGTCTGTCTGTCTGTCTGTCTGTCTGTCTGTCTGTCTGTCTGTTAGCTTGCTGCTACTGATGCTACACGGCTTCAGCAGCTACGCTCTCCCTCTCTCTCTCTCTCTCTCTCTCTCTCTCTCTCTCTCTCTCTCTCTCTGTCTCTCTCTCTCTCTCTCTCTCTCTCTCTCTCTCTCTCTCTATGTGACTCGACCGCCCTCTCTGTCAGCAGTGGCCCCTCCCCTGCAGTGAGGCTGCCCTACTCCCCCCCGTATGTGTCAGTAGCTGATGTGTGTGTTCAGATTCGGTTTAATGCTAACGGTGGCTGCTAATGAGGTTAGCGTAGCTGCTGCTAGCATCAGTGCACTCGGCTCTGGCCGTCCTCCACCTGTTCACCAGCGGTGGAGCGTGGGTGGAGCCTGGTTACTGAAAACAGCTGCCTGTGAGTGAGCGTGGGTGGAGCCTGGTTACTGAAAACAGCTGCCTGTGACGGCGCCCAGCTGTCACTGAAAGAGGCCACGCCCTTAATTTAAAAAAACCTTGGTCCTTAATATAATTTAAAGAAAGGCTGTAAACTGTAAACTTCTAGTGGCCGGTAGAGGAACTGCACTACAGAGCACCATAAGACCCGACTGCACCCGGTGGGTGGCGGCGCTCAGTGGAATTATGGGTAATTGATGATCAATAAAGTATCTACGAGGTACCTGGTGTCAGCAGTGATCAGGTCAGACTTCATGCTGCTCGGACGAGACAGTTTCGGCTGAGAGCGAGTACGACGAAGAGACTGCTTCAACCTCCGGGACAGGAAGCCCTGAAGAGGAGGAGGAAGAGGAGGAAGAGGAGGAGGTGAAGAGGTTTTACTGTCAAAATGTTTTTCTGATCTTTCAGTGAAAATTTGTTTTTGATAATCCACCATTACGCCAAACTCACACTGGCTCCCTCTAACTCCCACTGACTCTCACTGACTCACTGACTCCCACTAACTCCCACTGACTCACACTGACTCACTGACTCCCACTAACTCCCACCAACTCCCACTGGCTCCCACTGGCTCACACTGGCTCCCACTGACTCCCACTGGCTACTCCCACTGACTCACACTGGCTCTTACTGACTCCCACTAACTCCCACCAACTCCAACTGGCTCCCTCTAACTCCCACTGGCTCTCACTGACTCACTGACTACCACTAACTCCCACCAACTCCCACTGGCTCCCACTGACTCCCACTGGCTCCCTCTAACTCCCACCGGCTTCCACTGGCTCCCTCTAACTCCCACTGGCTCCCACTGGCTCCCACTAACTCCCACCAACTCCCACTGGCTCCCACTGAGTCCCACTGGCTACTCCCACTGACTCACACTGGCTCCCACTGGCTCCCACTAAGTCCCACTGACTAACACTGACTAACACTGGCGCCCACTGGCTCCCAGCAACTCCCACTGGCTCCCTCTAACTCCCACCGGCTTCCACTGGCTCCCTCTAACTCCCACTGGCTCCCACTGGCTCCCACTAACTCCCACTAACTCCCACCAACTCCCACTGGCTCCCACTGAGTCCCACTGGCTACTCCCACTGACTCACACTGGCTCCCACTGGCTCCCACTAACTCCCACTGACTAACACTGACTAACACTGGCGCCACTGGCCCAGCAACTCCCACTGGCTCCCTCTAACTCCCACCGGCTTCCACTGGCTCCCTCTAACTCCCACTGGCTCCCACTAACTCCCACTAACTCCCACCAACTCCCACTGGCTCCCACTGAGTCCCACTGGCTACTCCCACTGGCTCGTACTGACTAACACTGGCGCCCACTGGCTCCCACTGGCTCCCACTGACTCTCACTGACTCCAACTAACTCCCACTAACTCCCACTAACTCCCACCAACTCCCACTGGCTCCCACTGGCTCCCACTGACTCCCACTGGCTACTCCCACTGGCTCGTACTGACTAACACTGGCGCCCACTGGCTCCCACCAACTCCCACTGGCTCCCTCTAACTCCCGCCGGCTTCCACTAACTCCGACTAACTCCCACTGACTCTCACTGACTCCCACTGACTCAAACTGGCTCCCACTAACTCCGTCTAACTCCCACCGGCTTCCACTGGCTCCCTCTAACTCCCACTGGCTCCCACTAACTCCCACTGACTCTCACTGGCTCCCACTGGCTCCCACTAACTCCCTCTAACTCCCACCGGCTTCCACTGGCTCCCACTAACTCCCACTGACTCACACCGGCTCCCACTGGCTCCCACTAACTCCCTCTAACTCCCACCGGCTTCCACTGGCTCCCTCTAACTCCCACTAACTCCCTCTAACTCCCACCGGCTTCAGGCTCCACTACTCCCACTGACTCACACCGGCTCCCACTGGCTCCCACTAACTCCCTCTAACTCCCACCGGCTTCCACTGGCTCCCTCTAACTCCCACTAACTCCCACTGACTCTCACTGACTCCCACTAACTCCCACTGGCTCCCACTAACTCCCACTTACTCCCACTGACTCTCACTGACTCCCACTAACTCCCACTGACTCACACTGGCTCTCTCTAACTCCCACCGGCTTCCACTGGCTCCCTCTAACTCCCACCGGCTTCCACTGGCTCCCTCTAACTCCCACTGGCTCCCACTAACTCCCTCTAACTCCCACCGGCTTCCACTGGCTCCCGCTGGCTCACACTGGCACCCACTGACTCCCACCAACTCCCACTGGCTCCCACTAACTCCCACTGGCTACTCCCACTGGCTCGTACTGACTAACACTGGCGCCAACTGGCTCCCACCAACTCCCACTGGCTCCCTCTAACTCCCACCGGCTTCCACTGGCTCCCTCTAACTCCCACTGGCTCCCACTGGCTCCCACTAACTCCCACTAACTCCCACTGACTCTCATTGACTCCCAATAACTCCCACTGACTCACACTGGCTCCCTCTAACTCCCACTGGCTCCCACTAACTCCCACTAACTCCCACTAACTCCCACTGACTCTCACTGACTCCCACTAACTCCCACTGACTCCCACTGGCTCCCTCTAACTCCCAACGGCTGCCACTGGCTCCCTCTAACTCCCACTGGCTCCCACTGGCTCCCACTAACTCCCACTAACTCCCACCAACTCCCACTGGCTCCCACTGACTCCCACTGGCTACTCCCACTGGCTCGTACTGACTAACACTGGTGCCCACTGGCTCCCACTGACTCTCACGGACTCCCACTAACTCCCACTAACTCCCACCAACTCCCACTGGCTCCCACTGACTCCCACTGGCTACTCCCACTGGCTCGTACTGACTAACACTGGCGCCCACTGGCTCCCACCAACTCCCACCGGCTTCCACTGCCTCCCTCTAACTCCCACTGGCTCCCACTAACTCCCACTGACTCTCACTGACTCTTACTGACTCCCACTGGCTCCCACTAACTCCCACTGACTCACACTGGCTCCCACTGGCTCCCACTAACTCCCACTAACTCCCACTGACTCTTACTGACTCCCACTGGCTCCCACTAACTCCCACTGACTCACACTGGCTCCCACTGGCTCCCACTAACTCCCACTAACTCCTACTGGCTCGTACTGACTAACACTGGCGCCCACTGGCTCCAACCATCTCCCACTGGCTCCCTCTAACTCCCAGCGGCTTCCACTGGCTCCCTCTAACTCCCACTAACTCCCACTGACTCTCACTGACTCCCACTGACTCCCACTGGCTCCCACTGGCTCCCACTAACTCCCACTGACTCTCACTGACTCCCACTAACTCCCACTGACTCACACTGGCTCCCTCTAACTCCCATCGGCTTCCACTGGCTCCCTCTAACTCCCACCGGCTTCCACTGGCTCCCTCTAACTCCCACTGGCTCCCTCTAACTCCCACCGGCTTCCACTGGCTCCCTCTAACTCCCACTGGCTCCCACTAACTCCCTCTAACTCCCACCGGCTTCCACTGGCTCCCTCTAACTCCCACTGGCTCCCACTAACTCCCACTGACTCTCACTGACTCTCACTGACTCCCACTAACTCCCACTAACTCCCACCAACTCCTACTGGCTCCCGCTGGCTCTCACTGGCTCCCACTGACTCCCACCAACTCCCACTGGCTCCCACTAACTCCCACTGGCTACTCCCACTGGCTCGTACTGACTAACACTGGCGCCCACTGGCTCCCACCAACTCCCACTGGCTCCCTCTAACTCCCACCGGCTTCCACTGGCTCCCTCTAACTCCCACTGGCTCCCACTAACTCCCACTGACTCTCACTGACTCACTGACTCCCACTAACTCCCACCAAATCCCACTGGCTCCCACTGGCTCACACTGGCTCCCACTGACTCCCACTGGTTACTCCCACTGACTCACACTGGCTCTTACTGACTCCCACTGGCTCCCACTAACTCCCACTGACTCACACTGAATCCCACTGGACTCCCACTAACTCCCACTGGCTCGTACTGACTAACACTGGCGCCCACTGGCTCCCACCAACTCCCACTGGCTCCCTCTAACTCCCACCGGCTTCCACTGGCTCCCTCTAACTCCCACTGGCTCCCACTAACTCCGTCTAACTCCCACCGGCTTCCACTGGCTCCCTCTAACTCCCACTGGCTCCCACTGGCTCCCACTAACTCCCACTAACTCCCACTGACTCTCATTGACTCCCAATAACTCCCACTGACTCACACTGGCTCCCTCTAACTCCCACTGGCTCCCACTAACTCCCACTAACTCCCACTGACTCTCACTGACTCCCACTAACTCCCACTGACTCACACTGGCTCCCTCTAACTCCCACCGGCTGCCACTGGCTCCCTCTAACTCCCACTCGCTCCCACTGGCTCCCACTGGCTCCCACTAACTCCCACTAACTCCCACCAACTCCCACTGGCTCCCACTGACTCCCACTGGCTACTCCCACTGGCTCGTACTGACTAACACTGGTGCCCACTGGCTCCCACTGACTCTCACGGACTCCCACTAACTCCCACTAACTCCCACCAACTCCCACTGGCTCCCACTGACTCCCACTGGCTACTCCCACTGGCTCGTACTGACTAACACTGGCGCCCACTGGCTCCCACCAACTCCCACCGGCTTCCACTGCCTCCCTCTAACTCCCACTGGCTCCCACTAACTCCCACTGACTCTCACTGACTCTTACTGACTCCCACTGGCTCCCACTAACTCCCACTGACTCACACTGGCTCCCACTGGCTCCCACTAACTCCCACTAACTCCCACTGACTCTTACTGACTCCCACTGGCTCCCACTAACTCCCACTGACTCACACTGGCTCCCACTGGCTCCCACTAACTCCCACTAACTCCTACTGGCTCGTACTGACTAACACTGGCGCCCACTGGCTCCAACCATCTCCCACTGGCTCCCTCTAACTCCCAGCGGCTTCCACTGGCTCCCTCTAACTCCCACTAACTCCCACTGACTCTCACTGACTCCCACTTACTCCCACTGGCTCCCACTGGCTCCCACTAACTCCCACTGACTCTCACTGACTCCCACTAACTCCCACCAAATCCCAATGGCTCCCACTGGCTCACACTGGCTCCCACTGACTCCCACTGGTTACTCCCACTGACTCACACTGGCTCCCACTGGCTCCCACTAACTCCCACTAACTCTTACTGACTCCCACTGGCTCCCACTAACTCCCACTGACTCACACTGGCTCCCACTGGCTCCCACTAACTCCCACTAACTCCCACTGGCTCGTACTGACTAACACTGGCGCCCACTGGCTCCAACCATCTCCCACTGGCTCCCTCTAACTCCCAGCGGCTTCCACTGGCTCCCTCTAACTCCCACTAACTCCCACTGACTCTCACTGACTCCCACTTACTCCCACTGGCTCCCACTGGCTCCCACTAACTCCCACTGACTCTCACTGACTCCCACTAACTCCCACTGACTCACACTGGCTCCCTCTAACTCCCATCGGCTTCCACTGGCTCCCTCTAACTCCCACCGGCTTCCACTGGCTCCCTCTAACTCCCACTGGCTCCCTCTAACTCCCACCGGCTTCCACTGGCTCCCTCTAACTCCCACTGGCTCCCACTAACTCCCTCTAACTCCCACCGGCTTCCACTGGCTCCCTCTAACTCCCACTGGCTCCCACTAACTCCCACTGACTCTCACTGACTCTCACTGACTCCCACTAACTCCCACTAACTCCCACCAACTCCTACTGGCTCCCGCTGGCTCTCACTGGCTCCCACTGACTCCCACCAACTCCCACTGGCTCCCACTAACTCCCACTGGCTACTCCCACTGGCTCGTACTGACTAACACTGGCGCCCACTGTCTCCCACCAACTCCCACTGCCTCCCTCTAACTCCCACCGGCTTCCACTGGCTCCCTCTAACTCCCACTGGCTCCCACTAACTCCCACTAACTCCCACTGACTCTCACTGACTCCCACTAACTCCCACTGACTCCCACTGGCTCCCTCTAACTCCCACTGGCTCCCACTGGCTCCCACTAACTCCCACTAACTCCCACTGACTCTCACTGACTCCCACTAACTCCCACTGACTCACACTGGCTCCCTCTAACTCCCACCGGCTTCCACTGGCTCCCTCTAACTCCCACTGTCTCCCACTGGCTCCCACTAACTCCCACTGACTCTCACTGACTCACTGACTCCCACTAACTCCCACCAAATCCCACTGGCTCCCACTGGCTCACACTGGCTCCCACTGACTCCCACTGGTTACTCCCACTAACTCCCACTGACTCTCACTGACTCACTGACTCCCACTAACTCCCACCAAATCCCACTGGCTCCCACTGGCTCACACTGGCTCCCACTGACTCCCACTGGCTCCCACTAACTCCCACTGACTCACACTGAATCCCACTGGCTCCCACTAACTCCCACTAACTCCCACTGGCTCGTACTGACTAACACTGGCGCCCACTGGCTCCCACCAACTCCCACTGGCTCCCTCTAACTCCCACCGGCTTCCACTGGCTCCCTCTAACTCCCACTGGCTCCCACTAACTCCGTCTAACTCCCACCGGCTTCCACTGGCTCCCTCTAACTCCCACTGGCTCCCACTAACTCCCACTGACTCTCACTGACTCTCACTGACTCCCACTAACTCCCACTAACTCCCACCAACTCCTACTGGCTCCCGCTGGCTCTCACTGGCTCCCACTGACTCCCACCAACTCCCACTGGCTCCCACTAACTCCCACTGGCTACTCCCACTGGCTCGTACTGACTAACACTGGCGCCCACTGTCTCCCACCAACTCCCACTGCCTCCCTCTAACTCCCACCGGCTTCCACTGGCTCCCTCTAACTCCCACTGGCTCCCACTAACTCCCACTAACTCCCACTGACTCTCACTGACTCCCACTAACTCCCACTGACTCCCACTGGCTCCCTCTAACTCCCACTGGCTCCCACTGGCTCCCACTAACTCCCACTAACTCCCACTGACTCTCACTGACTCCCACTAACTCCCACTGACTCACACTGGCTCCCTCTAACTCCCACCGGCTTCCACTGGCTCCCTCTAACTCCCACTGGCTCCCACTGGCTCCCACTAACTCCCACTGACTCTCACTGACTCACTGACTCCCACTAACTCCCACCAAATCCCACTGGCTCCCACTGGCTCACACTGGCTCCCACTGACTCCCACTGGTTACTCCCACTAACTCCCACTGACTCTCACTGACTCACTGACTCCCACTAACTCCCACCAAATCCCACTGGCTCCCACTGGCTCACACTGGCTCCCACTGACTCCCACTGGCTCCCACTAACTCCCACTGACTCACACTGAATCCCACTGGCTCCCACTAACTCCCACTAACTCCCACTGGCTCGTACTGACTAACACTGGCGCCCACTGGCTCCCACCAACTCCCACTGGCTCCCTCTAACTCCCACCGGCTTCCACTGGCTCCCTCTAACTCCCACTGGCTCCCACTAACTCCGTCTAACTCCCACCAGCTTCCACTGGCTCCCTCTAACTCCCACTGGCTCCCACTAACTCCCACTGACTCTCACTGACTCTCACTGACTCCCACTAACTCCCACCAACTCCCACTGGCTCCCGCTGGCTCACACTGGCTCCCACAGACTCCCACTGGCTACTCCCACAGGCTCTTACTGACTAACACTGGTGCCCACTGGCTCCCACCAACTCCCACTGGCTTCCACTGGCTCCCTCTAACTCCCACTGGCTCCCACTAACTCCCTCTAACTCCCACCGGCTTCCACTGGCTCCCTCTAACTCCCACTGGCTCGTACTGACTAACATTGGCGCCCACTGGCTCCCACCAACTCCCACTGGCTCCCACTAACTCCCACTGACTCTCACTGACTCCCACTAACTCCCACTGACTCACACTGGCTCCCACCGGCTTCCACTGGCTCCCTCTAACTCCCACCGGCTTCCACTGGCTCCCTCTAACTCCCACTGGCTCCCACTAACTCCCACTGACTCTCACTGACTCACTGACTCCCACTAACTCCACCAAATCCCAATGGCTCCCACTGGCTCACACTGGCTCCCACTGACTCCCACTGGTTACTCCCACTGACTCACACTGGCTCTTACTGACTCCCACTGGCTCCCACTAACTCCCACTGACTCACACTGAATCCCACTGGCTCCCACTAACTCCCACTAACTCCCACTGGCTCGTACTGACTAACACTGGCGCCCACTGGCTCCCACCAACTCCCACTGGCTCCCTCTAACTCCCACCGGCTTCCACTGGCTCCCTCTAACTCCCACTAACTCCCACTGACTCTCACTGACTCCCACTGACTCTCACTGACTCCCACTAACTCCCACTGACTCACACTGGCTCCCTCTAACTCCCACCGGCTTCCACTAGCTCCCTCTAACTCCCACTGGCTCCCACTAACTCCCACTGACTCTCACTGACTCTCACTGACTCTCACTGACTCCCACTAACTCCCACTAACTCCCACCAACTCCCACTGGCTCCCACTGGCTCACACTGGCTCCCACTGACTCCCACTGGCTACTCCCACTGGCTCCCACTGGCTCCCACTAACTCCCACTGGCTCGTACTGACTAACACTGGCGCCCACTGGCTCCCACCAACTCCCACTGGCTCCCTCTAACTCCCACCAGCTTCCACTGGCTCCCTCTAACTCCAACTGGCTCCCACTAACTCCCACTGACTCACACTGGCTCCCACCGGCTTCCACTGGCTCCCTCTAACTCCCACCAGCTTCCACTGGCTCCCTCTAACTCCCACTGGCTCCCACTAACTCCCACTGACTCTCACTGACTCTCACTGACTCCCACTAACTCCCACTGACTCCCACTGGCCCCTCAGAGGGTGGTATTGTGGGTTGAGGGTCCGTTATCAGTAATGATGGTTTTCTTTTTATTTCAAATGTGTACTATGTGATTCTTTGGTTTTGTAAAAACTCTTGTTCTGTGTTAAAGAATTAATTAAAAATTACCCTACAGGAGGAGGTTGAGGAGTACAGACTGTATCTCTCTCTGTCACCTGCAGGTGGAGCCAGTCAGCTGATCTACAGCTCCTGTTACCACAGAAACAGCAGGCTGATCCCAGCTGGCAGGAGCTGTGCGTTTGTGTGTGTGTGTGTGTGTGTGTGTGTGTGTGTGTGTGTGTGTGTGTGTGTGTGTATGTATGTATGTGTGTGTGTGTGTGTGTGTGTGTGTGTGTGTGTGTGTGTGTGCGTGCGTGTGTTCACCGTCACTCTGGCAGTGGGCGTGTCCACGGTGGAGCTACTGGGCATGCTCTGTCGACGGACTCCTCGCTCTGGAACATCTGGAACAGACAGAGTGCATGATGGGAGTTTCCTGAAATTTGTTCAGCCATGGTGCTCTACAGCTGTTGCTGTGGTAACTGGTCGTGAGGTGGGGTTGCCATGGCGACCGGTGGCAGCTGAACGTGTGTGTGTCGCAGTGGCGTCGATCACAACAAATATAAAATCAATAAAATCAAGAGAAACATTCAATCATTAATCCTCAATAACAGATTGTTTGACTGATTGGATTCATTTATATTTATTGGGTGACTGTAATCTGATCAGTTTTTACTTTTATTCAGATTCCACAGATAAATAATAATCAATGAGATTATCATGAGACAGACACACAGACAGACAGACACAGACACAGACACAGACAGACAGACAGACAGACAGTGAGACAGACACACAGACAGACAGTGAGACAGACACACAGACAGACAGACAGTGAGACAGACACAGACACAGACACAGACAGACAGACAGACAGACAGTGAGACAGACAGACAGACAGACAGTGAGACAGACACACAGACAGACAGTGAGACAGACACAGACAGACAGACAGACAGACAGCGAGACAGACACACAGACAGACAGTGAGACAAACACAGACAGTGAGACAGACACACAGACAGACAGACAGTGAGACAGACACAGACAGACAGTGAGAGAGACACACAGACAGTCAGTGAGACAGACACAGACAGACAGTGAGACAGACACACAGACAGTCAGTGAGACAGACACAGACAGACAGACAGCGAGACAGACACACAGACAGACACAGACAGACAGTGAGAGAGACACACGGACAGTCAGTGAGACAGACACACAGACAGACAGTGAGACAGACACACAGACAGACAGTGAAATAGCAGCAGTTATTCAATTCAATTCAATTTTATTTGTATAGCGCCAATTCATAACAGAAGTTATCTCAGGACACTTTTCAAATAGAGCAGGTCTAGACCGAACTCTTTATAACATTATTTACAGAGACCCAACAGTACCACCATGAGCAAGACCTTGGAGACAAGGGCAAGGAAAAACTGCCTGTTAAAAGGCAGAAACCTAGGACAGACAGATGATATTAGCAATGGCAGTCAAGCAGGACCATGGCTATATGGTTATATGTTCTAATTAGTGCCGTCAGTTTAACGTGTTATTAAAGGCGTTATCGCAAACCCATTTTAGCAGCGTCAATTTTTTTATCGCGAGATTAACGCCTAGCACACTTTGTAGTTTTTTTCACATGCTGTTGCAACAACTAGTAACGTTAGAAAAACTACAACACCACACCGGATCTATCTAGACCGGAAACAAAACAACACACACTTGTTTAAGAGTAGTAGACGTTACGTTTTGAGTGGATGGCGAGCACGAGACGCCGAAATGGATGGATTCCTTGTTGTCTGAAAATGTCAACAGGCTTGTCTGTTTGAGTAACTGGCTCAAAGCAAAGAAGTAGTAGGCTTACCTTTTACTGGTAACCGTTACTGTTCATTCTTTCTGAAATAAGAGGCTGGGTTGAGCCTCTGGTGAATAAACTGCTATGTTCAAAGCAAACTTGAAAAAAGTATTAAGCCATGGTTTAACTGCACTATAGGCTGAGTCCTAGTTTACCTTACATGTGCACTTTGTAATTTTATTTTGTATCGCCCTGTTTTGATCCCTTAGAAAGGGCTGTTGAAGGGGCTGTTTGTGGGACAAAGTATTTGTTTCACCCTTTTATTGATGGACAGTGTTACATTGTGTGAGAGCTTATTTGCTCCAAGTGAGAATGTTAGTGTGAAATTAAACACTACAGTATATGCCAATGTTGTTTTCAATAAAAACATTTGCACAAAGCAAGCCGATTCACTTTTCCATGTTGATAAGAGCATTAAAATAATGGGACAAAAAGAAATCAAGGGACATTTAGAATAGATAAAAATGTATATATGTTCTAATATACTGCAGTTATATGTTCTAATGTACAGCAGTTATATGTTCTTATGTACAGCAGCTATATGTTCTAATGTACAGCAGTTATATGTTCTAATGTACAGCAGTTATATGTTCTACTGGTGGTGCTGTGGTACTGATTGTTTTGTGGTACTGAGTGGTTCTGTACCATTAGCGGTTACTGAGATCAGGTCACTCTAGAGTCTCTGACTGTTGGTTGTTTATAAGTTAATCACATCATAAACAACAGTTTACAGTAAACAAACTCAGCTGATCTGCAGCCAGTTACTACATTGAATATTTGGACTTGGTTTCACAGCTTATAGACTGAACATCTGTTTGCTCACACACACACACACACACACACACACACACAGAGTTTATAAGCCGTACAACATGATTTCTGATTGGATGTATAATGTATATATATATATATATATATTCTGTATTCAGTGATTACAGCTCGTCTGACTGACTTCACATTTACAGAACACCATCACTTCAAAGTTTGGATTCTATAAGAAGTCAGGTGGAAGTGTTCCATATTAAAATGTCTCTGAATGGTATTGTAGTCCCTGCATCTGGACACCAATATCCTGTCCCGGTACCTCTGGCTGAAGCCCCCCCACAATGTTACTCGTCAGTAACCATCTCAATGAGCTATAAAACCCACTCACTGACTTTACTCCAGTACAGTGATTACAGTACTGATTGTTTACCAGTGAAAGGCTCTGAAATGTACTCAGAGTATAAAGTCAAAGTACACTGTTGGTTCCTTTCTGCATTCTAAAGAATTACTGCTGGTAGTGCAGTACTGCAGCATTTGTAGTATTACTGAGCTCTTACAGTGTAAAAGTTTATTTATTATTATATATTATATTATAATATTTAATTACAGAGACTTGAGACTCTAATTGTTATTAAAGGAACTGTACTAAGCTGGTTTAAGTCCTATTTATCAGATCGTTCGCAGTTGAGAGTGAATCCTCCATAAACACTAAAGTTAGTCATGGAGTTCCACAAGGTTCTGTACTTGGACCGATACTATTCACTTTATATATGCTTCCCTTAGACAACATTATTAGGAATCACTCCATTAATACTGAGTATTATTGCTATTGATCATCATTTCCCTTGTTGTGTGATCAGCATCATCAGCATCAGTCATTTATATTAGTGCTTGCTCATGGTGGGAACTGTTGGGCTGTTATTATTAATATGAATATACAATATACAATATTATTAACAATAATAATAATATACAGAACTGTGTTTTGTATATTTTTTAAATATATATTTTTCAGTTTGTTAGTTTTGTTTAATTTCCTGTGAAGGAAGCAGAACAGGTGTCTGTGACCTTTGACCCTTAGCTGGGTCAGCAGGTTCATCTGCAGCATCTTCATCACGAACACTATCTGGGCTCCTCATCATGTTGCCATGGTAACTGACCTCAGATATCAGATTATGGGATTATTATTATTATGGCATCAAGATTAAGCAGCTAATCCCCCCCCCCAGGGTTAGGGTTACTGTGTGTTTCTCCACACACACACACACACACAATGAGAAACACACACACACACACACACACACACACACACACAGAAACACACACACACATTATTTTTTTCTTACCGTTCAAATCTTCAACTTCTGCATCAAACTCCACCTCCATCATCTGTTTGTCTGTCTCTCTCTCTCTCTGTCTCTCTGTAACTGTCTGTCTGTGACTGTCTCTCTCTCTCTGTCTGTCTGTACCTTTCTGTCTGTAACTGTCTCTGTCTGTCTGTGACTGTCTGTCTGTGACTATCTCTCTCTCTCTGTCTGTCTGTGACTGTCTGTCTGTGACTATCTCTCTCTCTCTGTCTGTCTGTAACTGTCTGTCTTCTCCTGCAGCTTTTGAAACCCCTCACGTCTTCTTTACCTTTGTGGGCGGGGCGAGGAGGCGCTGAGGTCACATGGAGAGTGTATCTTAGCAACCAGACAGTACAAGTCTCCGCCCTCTCGGCCAGAAGCAGAGGATGAACCTGAAGAACAACTTTATTATTAATTATTAATGACACAAATGGCAGATACAGTGGATGACTACAATTATAATAAATATTATTGTGATATTTGTATTGATTTCAGTTTAATATTTAATGTTTTTACCTCAGGTTGTTGGATTATAATAAATATTATTGTGATATTTGTATTGATTTCAGTTTAATATTTAATGTTTTTACCTCAGGTTGTTGGATTATAATAAATATTATTGTGATATTTGTATTGATTTCAGTTTAAAATTTATTGTTTTTACCTCCAGGTTGTTGAGCATCAGTAAATGAGAATCTGACAGGATGCAGAACATTTTATTCCAGACATCAGGCTCCGCCTTTCGACCACATGACAGCCAATGGATGGAGGCACTCTTCAGCTCTGTGACATCATCACAACATCAGAATATTACACAGTAGCAGAACAGTACCAATATTAATATTAATATCAGTACCATTACCAATATTAGAACCAATATTAGTATCAGTACCAATATTAGAACCAATATTACTATTGTTTCCACAACAACTGTTCTGACTCTTCAAATGTTGATTTATTGCTTCTATTAATTAAAAATGGCTCATTTATCAGCTTTAATGCCAAAACATTAGTTTCACTTTCTGAAGAGCCACAACTGCTAACCACAAAGTGCTACCATCGGTGCCTGTTTCTAATATGTTGTTGTTGTTGTTGTTGTTCCTGCAGTATTGTTCCAAGTGGTGACTCCTGACAGCTGATTAGCCCCACCCCCACTAACTGAATGAGTACAGGTGGCTCAGGTAATACAGGTGGTACAGGTGGCTCAGGTGGTACATGTGGCTCAGGTGGTACAGGTGGTACAGGTGGCTCAGGTAATACAGGTGGCTCAGGTGGTACAGGTGGTACAGGTGGCTCAGGTAATACAGGTGGCTCAGGTGGTACAGGTGGTACAGGTGGTACAGGTGGCTCAGGTAATACAGGTGGCTCAGGTGGTACAGGTGGTACAGGTGGCTCAGGTAATACAGGTGGCTCAGGTAATACAGGTGGTAGAGTTGGTACAAGTAATTCAGGTGGTGAAGGGGGTACAGGTGGCTCAGGTAATACAGGTGGCTCAGGTAATACAAGTGGCTCAGGTAGCTCAGGTAATACAGGTGGCTCAGATAATACAGGTGGCTCAGGTAATACAGGTGGCTCAGGTAATACAGGTGGCTCAGGTAATACAGGTGGTGGAGGTGGTACAGGTAATACAGGTGGTAGAGGTGGTACAGGTGGTAGAGGTAATACAGGTGGCTCAGGTGGTAGAGGTGGCTCAGGTAATACAGGTGGTAGAGCTGGTACAGGTAATACAGGTAATACAGGTGATACAGGTGGCTCAGGTAATACAGATGGTAGAGGTGGTACAGGTAATACAGGTGGCTCAGGTAATACAGGTGGTAGAGGTGGTACAGGTAATACAGGTGGCTCAGGTGGTACAGGTAATACAGGTAGTAGAGGTGGTACAGGTAATACAGTAGGCTCAGGTACTGAGTTCCACCAACTCACCAATCACATTCATCCAGCCCATGTGCTGACACCTGGACAGGTGTTTCACCAGCTCCTCCATGGCAACAGGATCCTCAAAAAGAATTCTGGGTAACCTACAGGCTGATATCACTCACCTGTCTGCCTCCATACACTACATACACACCTGAACCTGAGGTAGGACAGACTCACAGACAGGTAGGACAGACTCACGGACAGCTAGACGGACTCACAGACAGGTAGAACACTCACAGACAGGTAGAACACTCACAGACAGGTAGGACAGACTCACAGACAGTTAGACAGACTCACAGACAGGTAAAGAGACTCACAGACAGGTAGAACAGACTCACAGACAGGTAGACGGACTCACAGACAGGTAGACGGACTCACAGGACACTCACAGACAGGTAGAACAGACTCACAGACAGGTAGGACAGACTTACAGACATGTAGACAGACTCACAGACATGTAGACAGACTCACAGACAGGTAGGACAGACTCACAGACAGTTAGACAGACTCACAGACAGGTAAAAGGACTCACAGACAGGTGGCATAGGCAGTATAGGCAAATGCTAAGGGCGCCGTCCATCTAGGGGGCGTCACGATGGGGGAAGAAAAGAAAAAAAAAGGTGCAACTTTCAATATTTTTATATATTATATATATAATATTTTCTTAGTATGAGAAAAGCCCACATTAATTTAACTGCATAGCAAAGCCTATTAAATAATAATAAGACTTTATTAAGCCCCCCCCTCCTCCTCTACCTGCTCTCTGAGAGATGGTTGAGTTTTCTGACGTCACCCCAGAAACCATTAACAATGTCAAAACGACCAAAACTTTCCGGTGCCCAGAGAAGGAAAGAAAGAAGAGGAAAAACGTGACAAAGATAGAGGTAGAGTAAAGATAATGTCATGAAATGTCTGTTGCAGAACGATAGTAACCTTTAGCCTAACACGGTTTGTTAATCAATAAATAGCGTTAGCTCGTTTTAACGTCAGTTCATGTTATGGAGGGGCCTATAATATATATAATACTCCCTCCTTCTATTTCTCAGGGACATTTGTAAAGATTAGATCTATTCAGCAGCTGTTAACATTATTTGTATTTATTATTGGTTAGCTAACGTTTGCTCTGCTTGTAACAGTCAGTCAGATGCTGTTCCTTTCACACACCTTTATATATTAGAGTTGGAAGCCTTGTTGTTTGTTGTGTTACAGTTCAGTATGTTCTAAAGTGTGTTTATAGTGTTACACTTTACATCCATGTTAAAGAGCACATCATTAATGTTAATACATTGTTATATTATACTGCAGTTTACTGCTTCTTTGTATTCTGCTAATCAGCATTTCACTGTAATGACAATAAGATTAAATCTGATCTAATTTGCATATCAGAAGAAAATGCACTGTATATCATTCATGTACAGTACAGTGAAAGTAATGCATCTCTTAGGTTTTTCATTTTTATTATTTCATTTTATTCTTGGAATCATTTTTCAACAGTGTCACTTTCTCCTCTTCTCTCTTCAGATGTGCTGTTGAAATATCTAAATCCACCTCCTGCAAATCCTGGAACATCTACAGTCATCGCTGCTTCAACAGCATCAAGTGATCCTCCTTTATTTTATCACTTGTTTACAGTTTTTATTTTGTAGGTAGTTCAATTTTATACTTTGTGTGGGCTATTTCTATTACATTTCTTGTATTATTTATTTCTAATTTCTTATTTTCTTGTTAACTGTTGTGATTTAGCAACTTGTTTCTCTAGAAATAAAATAAAATGTCAAAGACAAAGTTATTCAGTTTCTTGCGTGAGTATATGTATGTATATAACTGGCAGTGGAATTTACTGCGATGCAAGGGGGGCGCCACCTAAAATCTTGCCTAGGGCGCCAAATTGGTTAGGGCCGGGCCTGTCATACAGGTATACAGACTCGCAGACAGGTATACAGACTCGCAGACAGGTAGATAGACTCACAGACAGGTAGATAGACTCACAGACAGGTTAGATAGACTCACAGACAGGTTAGATAAGACTCACAGACAGGTAGATAGACTCACAGACAGGTAGATAAGACTCACAGACAGGTTAGATAAGACTCACAGACAGGTTAGATAGACTCACAGACAGGTTAGATAGACTCACAGACAGGTTAGATAGACTCACAGACAGGTAGATAGACTCACAGACAGGTAGATAGACTCACAGACAGGTTAGATAGACTCACAGACAGGTTAGATAGACTCACAGACAGGTTAGATAGACTCACAGACAGGTAGACAGACTCACAGACAGGTAGACAGACTCACAGACAGGTAGACAGACTCACAGACAGGTAGACAGACTCACAGACAGGTAGATAGACTCACAGACAGGTTAGATAGACTCACAGACAGGTTAGATAGACTCACAGACAGGTTAGATAGACTCACAGACAGGTTAGATAGACTCACAGACAGGTAGATAGACTCACAGACAGGTAGACAGACTCACAGACAGGTAGATAGACTCACAGACAGGTAGACAGACTCACAGACAGGTAGATAGACTCACAGACAGGTTAGATAGACTCACAGACAGGTAGATAGACTCACAGACAGGTAGATAGACTCACAGACAGGTAGATAGACTCACAGACAGGTAGATAGACTCACAGACAGGTTAGATAAGACTCACAGACAGGTTAGATAGACTCACAGACAGGTAGATAGACTCACAGACAGGTTAGATAGACTCACAGACAGGTTAGATAGACTCACAGACAGGTAGATAGACTCACAGACAGGTAGATAGACTCACAGACAGGTAGATAGACTCACAGACAGGTAGATGACTCTGAAGCTCGTCTCTTCAGCTGTCAGTCAGTTCCTCCTCATACTGTAAGACAACTTTACCTGTCTGTCCACCTGTCTGTCTGTAGGAACCTTCAGGACAACAGACACACTAACTCTAACCATCTGTCTGACTCTTAATGTATGTGTGTTGTTTAACACCTTAATTATATTAACGGATAATCACCTGTCGCACTCTCACTCACACACACACACACACAGAAACACCGGGGTCAAAGGTCAAACAAAAGCTTTTTTTATTCCAGAGAAAGCTGGCAGCTGATTGGTCAGCTGAACAGGAAAAGGATAAACATACAAGCAGTCACATGATCAAAACAACCGTCCAACAGGCCAATGGGAGGGGAGTGTGGTTACCGTGGCAGCAAGGAGCAGCTGCAGGTTTAAAGTGACAGAGTGACAGTTTAACGTCTCAGAGACTGTTAGCACTATTAGCATTCCTCATTCAAACCAATGGGCTGTGTTAGCTTCAAGCTAACATGTAACTATTGATCATTTTACTTTCTTTAATACGTTTGAACAGCGATCAATCTCTCTGATTATCAGTTGGGAAATGAATTTGGTGGCTGATGTTTGCATAGATACTGAGTGTGATAATAGTGCAAGAGAACAGCTGCTGAAGGGAAACACCAGGAAACACTGAGCATTCAGCTCCGGTGGGATTTGTAGTTTTTGTTTGATTCCTCTTGTTCATAAAGCTGGAGGACTAAATCCACAGTCTGAGACAAGTCAGAGTGCATACAGAGGTCAGAGGTCGTTCATGTAATACCTAGAGGATTAAAGACATCACAGCATCCCGGGTTCAGTGGGAGGAGCTTCTGATAGACTTCAGACTGTGGATGTCCTCCATCTCTCTGAATACTTTATGATGATTCGGTTTAATTCAATTTGGAGCAGATTGGAACGTGCAGGTAAACGTGGTCAGAATGGCTCGCTGCAGGGTTCCCACGGCCTCTACAGAGCATCAACAACAGGTCAAATAAAGCTAAATTCATCGTCTAACCTATTAGAGGAAATGTATAAAGCATCAGTGCTTGTTGCACGTTGCATATTAACAATTATCAGTGTAAGTAAAATACTATTAAAGTAATCCAGGACAACAGAGATTTGGTCATTTTAATCAATTTCCAGGTCTCTCTAGGAAAACTAGTCACTAAATTCCAGATGTTCCAGGATGTGTGGGAACCCTCCCGGGGGGTTGGGGAACCCTCCCGGGGGGTTGGGGAACCCTGCCGGGGGGGTTGGGGAACCCTCCCGGGGGGTTGGGGAACCCTGCCGGGGGGTGGGGAACCCTGCCGGGGGTTGGGGAACCCTGCCGGGGGGCTGGGGAACCCTCCCGGGGGGTTGGGGAACTGATGGTGATGGATTATTTTTATTGTCTGTTCAGGGACAAATATGTCAGTTATTACTCCAGGAAGGAAACAAAAACTCAAATCTTTAGTGAAGTGCTTTCTGTTCAGGCATAACGTGTGAACGTACATCAGAAACTCACAGGTACAGCAGAGCGGACAGGTGAGGCAGCGTGCTGTCTGACAGCTGGGGGGCTCTACAGGGAACTACAGGAGCCTCTGACTGTTTCACATGTCAGAGAAAATGAGGAAGAAGAAATATTTGACAGAACAGAGACAAACTCCATCTACTGTCAGTCTGAGAATATACAGACCATAATAAGACTAAATATTGAAATAACACTGTGTGTGTGTGTGTGTGTGTGTGTGTATACGGTCTTTGGCTGTATATGTTCTCACTAAATACTGATGAGACAGAATCGACTGATACCCGATTCCTCCAAACTCACCTGAGAGTCAGCCAGGGACAGATGTGAGACGGGTTTGAGGGGACAGAAGTGAGACGGGTTTGAAGGGACAGATGTGAGACGGGTTTGAGGGGACAGATGTGAGACGGGTTTGAGGGGACAGATGTGAGCGGTTTGAGGGGACAGATGTGAGACGGGTTTGAAGGGACAGATGTGAGACGGGTTTGAGGGGACAGATGTGAGGGGACAGATGTGAGACGGGTTTGAGGGGACAGATGTGAGACGGGTTTGAAGGGACAGATGTGAGACGGGTTTGAGGGGACAGATGTGAGACGGGTTTGAGGGGACAGATGTGAGACGGGTTTGTGGGCACAGAAGTGAGACGGGTTTGTGGGGACAGAAGTGAGACGGGTTTGAGGGGACAGAAGTGAGACGGGTTTGTGGGGACAGAAGTGAGACGGGTTTGTGGGGACAGATGTGAGACGGGTTTGTGGGGACAGATGTGAGACAGGTTTGTGGGCACAGATGTGAGACGGGTTTGAGGGCACAGAAGTGAGACGGGTTTGTGGGCACAGAAGTGAGACAGGTGTGCAGGGACAGATGTGAGACAGGAAACTAACCCTACATTGTGAGAATACCGTTGCTAGGCAACTGAAATTAAAAAAAAGAATGAATTATTTGGTTTTGGAGAAAAATAAATCAACAGTAACTTTTATGGTTTAAAAACATTAACTCACATTAAAACTGGTCACATTGACTGTTGTCATGGTGACGTTAATACTCCTCCATTACTCATGAGGTAACTGAGCTCTGACTGGACGCTGATCAGGAAGTGAGAAAGGAGGAAGAGGAATCAGAGCGTCACATCTAACCGCGGTTGTAAACGTCCTAATAAGGAGTCGTCCCCTCCCACTCCAACAGGTACTGCACCGTTCCCTGAGGAGTGACACGGCGAGCCAACACCTGGTACCTCTCCCCATTGGTCAGCCTGCCCGCCACTCCAAAATACGAGGAGATGGAGGAGTGGAGGTGGGAGGAGTCAGAGGGAATCTGGGAGGGGTCTGACAGGAAGTGGGAGGAGTCTGTTGTCAGGTGGGTGTGATCCGTAGCTTCTTGGTCCTCCAGCATCCCAGAAGGCTCCTCCCCTCCAAGTTCCTCCCCCGCTTCACTGCGATTGGCCCACTGGCTGTAGCTGTTGCTAGGCAACTTCCTCTTCCTGCTGCCCACCCTCCTTCTGAAGACACAGAGCACAGAGGTCAAAGGTCAGAGATCGACTTCCTACAGATGATAAAGAGCCGATAATGAGCACATAATGAGCCGATAAAGAGCCGACGAAGAGCCGACGAAGAGCTGACGAAGAGCCGACAAAGAGCCGACAAAGAGCCGACAAAGAGCCAATAAAGAGCCGACAAAGAGCCGATAATAAGCAGATGAAGAGCAGATGAAGAGCAGATAAAGAGCAGATAAAGAGCCGATAATAAGCAGATGAAGAGCAGATGAAGAGCAGATAAAGAGCAGATAAAGAGCCGATAATAAGCAGATGAAGAGCAGATGAAGAGCAGATAAAGAGCAGATAAAGAGCAGATAAAGAGCCGATAATAAGCAGATAATGAGCAGATAAAGAGCAGATAAAGAGCAGATAATGAGCAGATGAAGAGGCGATGAAGAGCCGATAAAGAGCAGATGAAGAGCCGATAAAGAGCCGATAAAGAGCAGATGAAGAGCAGATAAAGAGCAGATAAAGAGCAGATGAAGAGCAGATGAAGAGCAGATAAAGAGCAGATAAAGAGCGATAAAGAGCCGATAAAGAGCCGATATAGGTGGCGATGAAGAGCAGATAAAGAGCAGATAAAGAGCAGATAAGAGCAGATGAAGAGCAGATAAAGGCGTAAAGAGCAGATAATGAGCAGATAAAGAGCAGATAAAGAGCAGATAATGAGCAGATGAAGAGGCGATGAAGAGCCGATAAAGAGCAGATGAAGAGCCGATAAAGAGCAGATAAAGAGCAGATGAAGAGCAGATAAAGAGCAGATAAAGAGCAGATAAAGAGCAGATAAAGAGCAGATGAAGAGCAGATGAAGAGCAGATAAAGAGCAGATAAAGAGCAGATAAAGAGCAGATAAAGAGCCGATAATAAGCAGATGAAGAGCAGATGAAGAGCAGATAAAGAGCAGATAAAGAGCCGATAATAAGCAGATGAAGAGCAGATGAAGAGCAGATAAAGAGCAGATAAAGAGCCGATAATAAGCAGATGAAGAGCAGATGAAGAGCAGATAAAGAGCAGATAAAGAGCAGATAAAGAGCCGATAATAAGCAGATAATGAGCAGATAAAGAGCAGATAAAGAGCAGATAATGAGCAGATGAAGAGGCGATGAAGAGCCGATAAAGAGCAGATGAAGAGGCGATGAAGAGCAGGTAAAGAGCAGATAAAGAGCAGATAAAGAGCAGATGAAGAGCAGATGAAGAGCAGATGAAGAGCCGATAAAGAGCCGATAAAGAGCAGATAAAGAGCAGATGAAGAGCAGATAAAGAGCAGATAAAGAGCAGATAAAGAGCCGATAAAGAGCCGATAATAAGCAGATGAAGAGCAGATGAAGAGCAGATAAAGAGCAGATAAAGAGCCGATAATAAGCAGATGAAGAGCAGATGAAGAGCAGATAAAGAGCAGATAAAGAGCAGATAAAGAGCCGATAATAAGCAGATGAAGAGCAGATGAAGAGCAGATAAAGAGCAGATAAAGAGCCGATAATAAGCAGATGAAGAGCAGATGAAGAGCAGATAAAGAGCAGATAAAGAGCCGATAATAAGCAGATAATGAGCAGATAAAGAGCAGATAAAGAGCAGATAAAGAGCCGATAATAAGCATATAATGAGCAGATAATGAGCAGATAAAGAGCAGATAAAGAGCAGATAAAGAGCCGATAATAAGCAGATGAAGAGCAGATGAAGAGCAGATAAAGAGCAGATAAAGAGCCGATAATAAGCAGATGAAGAGCAGATGAAGAGCAGATAAAGAGCAGATAAAGAGCCGATAATAAGCAGATAATGAGCAGATAATGAGCAGATAAAGAGCAGATAAAGAGCAGATAAAGAGCAGATGAAGAGCAGATGAAGAGCAGATGAAGAGCAGATAAAGAGCCGATAAAGAGCAGAGGAAGAGCCGATAAAGAGCAGAGGAAGAGCAGATGAAGAGCAGATGAAGAGCAGATAAAGAGCCGATGAAGAGCAGATAAAGAGCAGATGAAGAGCAGATGAAGAGCAGATAAAGAGCAGATAAAGAGCCGATAAAGAGCAGATGAAGAGCAGATGAAGAGCAGATAAAGAGCCGATAAAGAGCCGATAAAGAGCAGAGGAAGAGCAGATAAAGAGCAGATAAAGAGGCGATGAAGAGCCGATAAAGAGCAGATGAAGAGGCGATGAAGAGCAGGTAAAGAGCAGATAAAGAGCAGATAAAGAGCAGATGAAGAGCAGATAAAGAGCAGATAAAGAGCAGATAAAGAGCAGATAAAGAGCCGATAATAAGCAGTTGAAGAGCAGATAAAGAGCAGATAAAGAGCAGATAAAGAGCAGATGAAGAGCAGATGAAGAGCAGATGAAGAGCAGATAAAGAGCCGATAAAGAGCAGAGGAAGAGCAGATAAAGAGCAGATAAAGAGCCGATAATGAGCCGATAAAGAGCCGATAAAGAGCCGATAAAGAGCAAATAATAGGCAGATGAAGAGCCGATAAAGAGCCGATAATGAGCAGATGAAGAGCAGATGAAGAGCAGATGAAGAGCAGATGAAGAGCAGATGAAGAGCAGATGAAGAGCAGATAGGGTGTCCTTGCTGCAGCGGCCCAGGGTTCGAATGAGACCTGTGGCCCTTTGCTGCATGTCATCCCCTCTCTCTCTCTGCCCCCCTTTCCTGTCTCTCTCTAGCTGTCCTATCTAATAAAGGCAATAAAAGCCAAAAAAACAGATAAAAAAGATAAAGAGCAGATGAAGAGGCGATGAAGAGCAGGTAAAGAGCAGATAAAGAGGCGATGAAGAGCAGGTAAAGAGCAGATGAAGAGCAGATGAAGAGGCGATGAAGAGCAGGTAAAGAGCAGGTAAAGAGCAGGTAAAGAGCAGATAAAGAGCCGATAAAGAGCAAATAATAAGCAGATGAAGAGCAGATAATGAGCAGATGAAGAGCAGATAAAGAGCAGATGAAGAGGCGATGAAGAGCAGTAAGAGCACATAATGAGCAGATGAAGAGCCGATGAAGAGCCGATGAAGAGCAATGACCCTCAGCTGGAGGATATGGGGAACTGTTGGTTACCTGAAGTGATAGGAGGCGCTGGTTGTAGCAGAACCTGAAGTGGAGGCGTCAGTGGAGTCCTGATCAATACTGACAGTCCTACTGGAACTACTGAGGAGGACAATCAGAAGCTAGCAATATGATCAGATTGTATATATTGATTATTGGTGAACTGGTGTCTGTCTCACCTCTTGAGGCTCTGCAGCTCGTCCAGGGTGAAGTCAAAGATGTTGGCCATGTGATGGTTGGACGTCCAACTGCAGGACAGCTCGTTCTACACACACAGGCAGACACACACACACACACACCATTTAGTCGGGACACAGGAGAAAGTTAAAAACTACTACTAATGGAAGACTCTTACATTAGGAATGGCATCTTCTAGTAGCCACTTGGACTTCCTCTTCTTCCTCTCAGCTGAAGCACTGTAGGAACACACACACACACACACACACACACACACACACACACACACACACACACAGTGTTTTTCAGTCCGTTAATCGTAAAGGTCTTAAACACAAGTTGAAGCCTCTTTAACTACAGTGACTGATTGAAGTGCTACCGACACTCAGCTGTTGTTAATAGCTGATGATCAGGACTGAATCCTCCTGGTTGTAGTTCCACTAACAGTACGGACGGAAAATACTTCCTGGTGAGACTTACCTGTTCTTCACCACGCCCTTCTTACGGCCCCGTCCTCTATCGTTCTGAGCGCGCTCAGGAAAGAGCTTGGAGGGCGGGTTGGGAGGAACTCTGGTCCTCAGACGGAAGATACACTTCCTCTTCTTAATCTCCTTCCCACACAGAAACCTACACACACACACACACATATTAACACGCACACATACACAATAACACACACACACACACAATAAAACACACACACACACACACAATAAAACACACACACACACACACACACACACACACACACACTCACACACTCACACACTCACACACACACACACACACACACGCACACACACTAACACACACACACACACACACACACACACACACGCACACACACACACACACTAACACTAGGGGTGTGTGATATCTCGTTATCTTTTGGGTGATAATGATAATCAGTCAATATCTTTAAATGTGATGTGAATTGTCTGAGTTCGGTCTTTTTATCGCTGACAGCTCCAGAACTCATTGTCCGAGCGCCCAGCGGGGTCAAAGGTTGAACAGATTCATTGTCCGAGCGCCCAGCGGGGTCAAAGGTTGAACAGATTCATTGTCCGAGCGCCCAGCGGGGTCAAAGGTTGAACAGATTTCAACTGGAAGCGCTCTGAGCGTTAAAACCGTCTCCGCTGAGATCTTTTTACCGCCAGAGAGGTCGACCCACGTCTCGGCACTGAATCATCTGAAGTACCGGTAGCTTCAGGGACCGGAGGTGTTTGCATTTTCTCTCTATCATCACAACGCGCTGCTAAACTGTTGCAAGGAGGATGCTAGCGAGAGGTCACGTGATCACCTCATGTGATCACGTAGGCCCACTAGTCATGTGACTGAATCCTGCCATGCTGTAGAGAGCGCTGCTGCTCCGTGTATTAATGGATGGGAGGAGTTTCCGCGGGCGTTTCAGTAATTTAAATACTCGATAATGGAAATTTGCACATCCTGAAAACAACAATGACGATATTATCGCAAACGATATATATCGGCCACCTCTAATTTACACACTTTAACACACACATTAACACACACTATAATACAGTTATTGATAAGTATTGATAAGTATTGATTAGATGATGTGTGTGGTTCTTACTTGCTCTTGTATTTATTCAGAGCGTCCAGCAGATGCTGCCCTCTCTCTGACAGGGGAGTGTTAGACAGCTAAACAGACAGACAGGCAGATAGACAGGTTCAAATCACAACCAGGGTCCAGGTCTACTTTAGTTAGTTTACTGTAGTCTGGTCCAGGTCTACTTTAGTCTGGTCCAGCTCTACTTTAGTCTGGTCCAGGTCTACTGTAGTCCAGGTCTACTGTATTCTGGTCCAGGTCTACATTAGTCCAGGTTTACTGTAGTCTGGTCCAGGTCTACTTTAGTCCAGGTTTACTGTAGTCTGGTCCAGGTCTACTTTAGTCCAGGTTTACTGTAGTCTGGTCCAGGTCTACTGTAGTCCAGGTCTACTGTAGTCTGGTCCAGGTCTACTGTAGTCCAGGTCTACTGTAGTCTGGTCCAGGTCTACTTTAGTCCAGGTTTACTGTAGTCTGGTCCAGGTTTAGTCTGGTACCTTCCCGAGCTGTAGGTGGTCCCAGTTCTCAGAGACGAAGGCGAGGATCTCGTCCAGCTCAAAGTATTTCTTCTTGCTGCTGACAGACAGGTTGTAGAGAACCAGGTGAACCAGATCCACCCACCTCAGAGGGAGCCGGCGGACGTACTCAGATCCTTTATTACACGCCGAACACAGGAAGATATAAAACCTGAGGAGGAGGAGGAGCAGAGGAGGACGGGGTCACACATCATCAGGAAAACACATGAGGAGGAGGAGCAGAGGAGGAGGAGCTGTATCACCTGTCTCCAAACATCATGGACTCCTGCAGACACTGTGTGCAGGCTTCGTGGAACCACTGCTGACACCTGAGACACTGCAGCATCTTCAGGTACCACCTACAGACAGACAGATAGACAGACAGACAGACAGGAGGATGTTAGAGAGAGATCATCATTAATGTAACTCTGTCACTCTGAGTCTGTCTCTGATTGGTCAGTCTTACTCTCCGGGACCGCCACAGTAACAGTAACACTGCTGTTGATTGGTCCGGTGTTGGGAGTCCCAGTCCAGAGAGTCCAGCTCGTACGGTAACACCTGCTTCATGGCTGACAGAGCTTTGGATATAGGACCTTTCTTTAGAGCGCCCCCTTTCTGTGGGAAGGACACACAAACAAGAAGTGAGTTAGAATTTCACATCAAACTGATCTGGAGACGTTACAAAGTGGATTAATTCACGAGGCAGCAGACAGGTTGGTATTAATAGAGAGAAAGACAGGGAGTTACATAGCCGAGCTCCACCAAACTCCATTCAGAAAACAAGCATTTTAAAGGTGCTGCTGTTTGTACCCTGACAGCCAGAGCGAAGACACAACGGCGGCAGAACCAGGGACTGAGACTGATGCTGCCCTCTACTGGAGGAACATGGCACTGCTGGTGGAAACCTGACACACAGACAGGTGGAGAGAGAGACAGGTAGACAGACAGGTGGACAGAGAGAGAGACAGACACACAGACGTTATCTGAAGGTATTGATTAACAGCATTAAAGGCTAATGTGAACAGTTGAAACTGTAGAACAATAATCAGACGATCAATCAGCTGATCAACTGATCTGTCTCCAGCTCACTCACCGATGCCACACTTCCCACAGATCAGGATCTGGTTGCTGTGCTCTGATTGGCTGTCAGAGTTTGGCTCCACCTCCCCACACACAGAGCAGCGAGGCTCCTCCCCCGGCACTCCAGCTGCAACGTGATTGGACGAAAGATTGTGACTGACGGCAAGACAGATGTCAGACAGACATAAACAGCATGATGGTGAGACACATTTATAGTCTATCTCTCTCTCTACCTGTCTGTCGGTCCCTCTGTCTGTCTCTCTCTTTACTTGTCTGTCTGTCTCTCTCTACCTGTCTGTCCCTCTGTCTGTCTGTCTGTCTCTCTCTTTACTTGTCTGTCTGTCTCTCTCTACCTGTCTGTCTGTCTCTCTCTACCTGTCTGTCTGTCTGTCTACCTGTCTGTCTCACCATGTTGGATGTCCTTCCAGAGGACCCAGAACTTCGAGTTGTCCTCAAATGTGACGAAGCAGCTCTGCCTGGGGGGGCTCACCTGTGGACCAATCAGAACCCAGAGTTACTCCGACCGAGTGTGTGTGTGTGTGTGTGTGTGTGACTGTGTCTGAATGTGTGTGTCTGTGAGTGTGTCTGTGTGAATGTGTGTGTGAGAATGTGTGTGTGTGTCTGTGACTGTGAGTGACTGTGTGTGTGTGTGTCTGTATGTCTGTGAGTGACTGTGTGTGTGTGTGTCTGTATGTCTGTGTGTGTGTGTGTGTGTGTGACAGTCTGTGTGTGTGTGTGTGTGTGTATGTCTGTGTGTGTCTGTGTGTGTGTGACTGTCTGTATGTCTGTGTGTGTGTGTGTGTGTGTGTGACTGTCTGTCTGTGTATGTGTGTGTGACTGTCTGTGTGTGTCTGTGTGTGTCTGTGTGTGTCTGTGTGACTGTCTGTCTGTGTATGTGTGTGTGACTGTCTGTGTGTGTCGTGTGTGTGTGTGTGTGTATGTCTGTGTGTGTGTGTGTGTGTGTGTGTGTGTGTGTGTGTGTTGTTGTGTGTGTTGTTGTGTGTGTGTGTGTGTGTGTGTGTGTGACTGTTGTTGTGTATGTGTGTGTGACTGTTGTGTGTGTTGTGTTTTTTGTGTTTGTGTTGTTTTTTTTTTTTTTTTTTTTTTTTTTTTTTTGTTTGTGTGTTTGTGTGTTTGTGTGTGTCTGTGTGACTTGTGTGTGTCTGAATGTGTGTGTCTGTGAGTGTGTCTGTGTGAATGTGTGTGTCTGTGACTGTGTGTGTGAGAATGTGTGTGTGTGTCTGTGACTGTGAGTGACTGTGTGTGTTGTTGTCTGTATGTTGTGTGTGTGTGTGTGTGTGTGTGTGTGACAGTCTGTGTGTGTTTTTTTTTGTGTGTCTGTGTGTGTGTGACTGTCTGTATGTTGTGTGTGTGTGTGTGTGTGTGTGACTGTCTGTCTGTGTATGTGTGTGTGACTGTTGTGTTGTTGTGTGTGTCTGTGTGACTGTCTGTCTGTGTATGTGTGTGTGACTGTCTTTTTGTGTGTTTGTCTGTGTGTGTGTGTGTGTATGTCTGTGTGTGTTTCTGTGTGATGTCTGTGTATGTGTGTGTGACTGTCTGTGTGTGTCTGTGTGTGTCTGTGTGTATGTCTGTGTGTGTGTGTGTGACTGTGTGTGTGTGTGTGACTGTCTGTCTGTGTATGTGTGTGTGTGTATGTCTGTGTGTGTCTGTGTGTGTGTGTGTGTGTGTGTGTGTGTGTGTGTCTGTGTGTGTGTGTGTGTGTGTGTGTGTGTGTGACTGTCTGTCTGTGTATGTGTGTGTGACTGTCTGTGTGTGTCTGTGTGTGTCTGTGTGACTGTCTGTGTGTGTCTGTGTGTGTGTGTGTGACTGTGTGTGTGTGTGTGACTGTGTGTGTGTGTGTGACTGTCTGTCTGTGTATGTGTGTGTGTCTGTGTGTGTGTGACTGTATGTGTGTGTGTGTGTGTGTGTGACTGTCTGTCTGTGTATGTGTGTGTGACTGTCTGTGTGTGTCTGTGTGTGTTACCCTCTGTATCTTGCCCAGGTAATACAGTCCATCTGACCAATGACAGAGGACGTACTGTCCAACACTCAGACTGGACTCCTCCCCCTCGTCCAGGCCCTGCCCCCTCCGACATGCCCCGCCCCCCGGAGACACCTGAGGCTCCAGACAAGAGAGGGCTTCCCTCAGGTCCTCAAACATCCTGCAGAGAGACAGACAGAGAGAGAGAGAGAGAGAGAGAGAGAGAGAGAGAGAGAGAGAGAGAGAGAGAGAGAGAGAGAGAGAGAGAGAGACAGATGACAGAGAGACAGACAGACAGATGATGATCTGATTAAGAACATGTATACAAAAAGTGAATGTGCCGTAAAGATTGGAAACAAACAAACAGCGTTCTTCTCCCAGGGCCGGGGAGTGAGGCAGGGATGCAATCTCAGTCCAACTCTCTTCAATCTATATATCAATGAATTAGCGAACCAACTAGAGCGTTCCACGACACCTGGCCTCACCCTGAACGACACAGAGATCAGAGGTCTGCTGTATGCA